GAGCAATTTATTTTAAAAAATAAATTAGGATTAATAAGAGGCAACATCCATACCGAAAACTATGTAACCTAAACGGAAACGATAAGCAAAGAAAACAACCGCCTTGCTCTCCGGACAACATCTGCCATGTGTCAATGCCAAATTGCCAATATAATCCCGTTTTGCTAAGCCGACATTCTTTAGTTATCAGCAAAAGCTAGCCAAATTTTATCTCCGTTCACTCTGGTTTCAACGGTCTTCGAGACAACATAAAAGGAAAATCCCACCCACCCAACCCTTTGCTGAAGAAGAAGCATCCACTAATCAAGAACTATAGAACTTAATTAAATATAAGAAATCAATTGTAATCATATCTATATTGTTCTGTTTTATCAACTTGTAAATAATTTTATACATTCAAGAAGAAATAAAGAAAGCGGGACGGAAAGTGGTGTCCACACGGCCACACTTCGCCCACGGTGAAGCACACACCGGCAAAAGAGAGCAAGGTCCATAACGGCGGGGGGCCCTTACCCTCGTCCTGATCTTCGCATCTCTCGATCACTTCACCACGGGGAAGCCCGGCTCGGACATGAGATTCAACGTCCATAACGGTGAGGGCCCCTTACTCTCACCCTGATGTTTCTCCAGCTTTTCTGGGGGCCCCTTACCCCCAAGAAACCGCACTTTCCGTCACCCAATTTGGCCACAAAGGATTTGCGTGATTTATTAAATGGACAAAAGACTTTCAAGTGAATTTAAACTTCTCCGTGCGTGTATATGCAGGTACGAAAAATGCTTAACTGCGAAGCAGCCAAGTCTAACACGTAATTGCAATTCAAACCAGCGTATGTTTTGGACTAGTGAACCTTCGGAGTAGTGAACCTTCGGAGTAGTGAACCTTCGGACTAGTGGGAAGTCACCAGAGCGGAGAGCCGCACTGACGTTTCGATGCAGAAATTGATTCGATTACATCATTTCATATACATGAAAGCCCTGTCGAGTAGAGTTTTTGCGTCGCTGCGCAAGCTATCTGGTAGTGTAAAC